TCCCCACATCTGAATGCAGAGCCCCCGGCTCGCTGGAGCAAATTGCATCATCTCGTTCGGCCCGTTTGCGAGCGCGGAGCCTAACGAGGTCAGACAGGTAATGCAATTCCCCCCGCGCGCGGCGGGCTCAGTGAAACGGCGCTTGATCTGATTTTCATCTCATAAGGCGGCGCACAGCGGCTGCACCGGCAGCGGCTCCCTTTGGACGGAGCGAGGAGGGCGCCTTCGGGTGGGCTGTGTAATGAAGTCGGACTCCTGTCCTTCCGCCCCCCTGGGACCTTACGCTGGGAGGAAGCGCTGGCTCCTGCTGGCTGAGCTCGGGAAATGGCCTCTGAGCAGTTAGAGTTTATTCCTCTTCTTTAAATATATATATATTTTTTACTAGAGGCCCGGTGCACGAATTCATGCAGGGGTGGGGTCCCAGCCTGGCGGGCTATGGAGGCCTATGGGGAGGGAGGGGGGCGGCCGGCTGGGGGAAGGGACCGTGGGAGGTTGGCTGTGGGAGCACACTGACCACCAGGGGCCAGCTCCTGCCTTGAGCGTCTGCCCCTGGTGGTCAGTTCACGTCATAGCGACTGGTCGAGCGGTCGTTCCAGTCATTCCGTTGTAATGGTCGCTTAGGCTTTTATATCTATAGATTGGTTTCAGAGAGGAGGGAGAGAGAGAGTTAGAACCATGGACCGGCTGCCTCCTGCACGCCCCCCACTGGGGATCGAGCCCGCAACCCGGGCCTGTGCCCTGACCGTGAATGGAACAGTGACCTCCTGGTTCACAGGGTGACACCCAACCCCTGAGCCGCGTGTTGGGGCTGAAGCAACGGTTTTAATCCTGAGAAGACAACAGTCAATGGAGTCCGAGTCCAAAGGCCACGATGGAACAGCTGTGGCTCACGTGGTCAGGGTAACAGAGCCGTGTGTCCCCCGCTGATGGCTTATGAGCAATGCTCGCCCGCAGCTGAGCAGCTGGCTGACCTCCCCAGATGGACGCAGGTTTCTGAGGACGAGGCCAGTTGTGGCTGAGCGGGCTTCCCTGGGCTACGCAGGCACCCTGACCTGTCCCCTCGCTGCCCTGTCCCCTCGCTGCCCTGTCCCCTCGCCGTAGAATAGAGGCTCCCGGGCAATGGGGAGGCTGTCGGCCTTTGGGAGGGTCTGCTGGCTTCATTCTCCGTCCACTCCGAGCATCTCCGTTCTACGGTCGTGTCTCAATGCGGGAAACTAACACAGCTCCGGGGAAACTTGGACACGCAGGACGTGCGGCCGTGGGGTGACACCGTGGGCGCCGGCCTGGCCGCAGGAGAGCCGGCCTCCTGCA